TACTTAACAAAACTCAATCTCTGTATAAAACTTTGGCTCTAAAGGTGGCGGGCAATATGCATTCTTTGAATTAATGCATAACAAAATGCATCTATTTCCTTCTTAATGGTCTTGTTATTAGTTTTAATTGTTAACGGGCATATTTAACAGAGTTGGTGCTTGTTTTAACACCATGCAGACAAAAAATATGTCAAGCGCGAGGGTGAAACTCTCATAACAACAAGAGGGGGTGGAGGTGGATGAGGAGGGAAAGGAGGAGGAGGAGGGAGGGAGGTCGATGACAAGCTCCAGCTGCGAGGGAGAGATTTTTGTACAGGTGTCCCCCCACCCCCACCTCCTTTTTACTTGACACCTCGGAGATGGTTTTCTAACGGTGTCGACGAGGAATCAAAGCTGATAAAATAATAAAGGCTTGATCCGCACCGAAATCCGGGAAAAGAGCAGCGGCGGAGAAGATGCTGCTGCTGATGATGATGATGGTGATGATGGGAGACCCCCGCTGGGTGAAGACACGCAGCCTCGGCTGAGCCGCCGCCGACATGGAGCTCAGMGAGCGCCGAGGAGGGAGCTCCATCATCAGCCAAATGATCGCCTCGCTGATCATCTGCAGGTATTAGAGCAACGATTACAGCTAAAAACGAGTCCGCGAKATTTTGTCGACGCCGGCGGCTCGAGCGGTGGCGCCTGCTGTCGCCAAATTCATTTTCTCTCACCCCCGCCTCCTCCACCCCTCCATCCTGTGGATGTCGGCTGCGCACAGAGAGGGCCTGCTCGCTGGGTGAAGCCTTCAGGGATTAATTACTGATCACCATGAACAGCGAAATGGTTTCAGCTTCTGGTGGATTAAATTTCGCATGTTACGGATGGTGTGTCAGGTTGGATGAAGTGTTTTTAAAAGCCGATGCCAGATGTTGAGCTTTTGCACCTGGAATCCGGTGACAGAGGAATACAGCAGATTGAAAAGCAAATGGGTGGGCTTTCTCTCCTCATCAAAATGGGACTAACCTGACTTTGTGTCGACGCCCTGCTGGGTTCTACAATGTCAAATTCGCAGGCACCTGGTATGGGCACAAATGTCACTGGTGTTCCTCTGGAGCACAGCTCTAATCTGGACCCGGACTGGTCCTCCACTGCGGACAGCGTGGTGAAGGTGGCGCTAATATCCCTGATTGTGTGCCTGTCCCTGTTTGGGAACGTGGTCGTGCTGCTGGTGTTCCAAAGGAAGCCTCAGCTCCTCCACGTCGCCAACCGGTTTGTCCTCAACCTCCTCTTGGCCGACCTTCTCCAGACCGTGTTAGTCATGCCCTTTGCCATAGCAGCTGCCGTGCCCGGTGTGTGGCCCCTGGATGCTCGACTGTGCCAGGCTCTGGTGGTGCCCATGCACCTCTTYGCATTCGTCGGGGTCAACACCATCATCGTCGTCTCAGTGGATCGCTACCTGGCCATCATCCACCCTCTGTCCTATCCAACCAGAATGACTCCCCACCTGGGCACCAACCTGATAGTCTTCACCTGGGTGCTGGGTTTCCTGCAGAGCACGCCTCCGCTTTATGGCTGGGGAGTGATTGACTTTGACCGCCGTCAGAGGGTCTGCACAGTCGTGTGGTCCTCCAGTTTGTCCTACTCCGCCGTGGTGTCCACCTTTTCCTTCTGGCTGCCCGTKCTCGTCATGCTCGGATGTTACTGGATGGTGTTCAGAGCAGCCCGGAGGCAGAATGCTCTAGTGCATCCCATTCAGACACAATCCTACTCCCAGCCCAACCCGCAGGACTTCCAGGGGCCTGTCAGTCCGCAGGAGCGCCAGCAGATCAGTTTGCCCGAGGGTCCCTATCCATCCAGGCGACACCCTGTTCGAGTCAAACACAGACGTTTCCACTACCACTGCAAGGCAGCCCGTGTTGTTTTCGTGATCATGGCTTCGTATATCTTCAGCATGGGTCCTTACAGCATTCTGAACACTGTGTCTATTAGTCACAGAGCAGCTGTGCCCCCTTGGTTGTCCTCCCTCGCCCTTGTCCTCTTCTTCTTACAGTGCTGCCTGCACCCATACATTTACGGATACATGCATCGCAGCGTGAGGAAGGAATTCGTGGCTTTGCTCTACGGGATGCTCTGCAAGCAGGGTCGTCCCCGCCAGAGCTCGGCCGTGGAGAGCTGCTTCACCACGACGGAGGGTCGAGCCGGCGCTCACCCTCACCTGCCCAGTCTGACCGCCCGGGTCTTCCCTCTGCAGACCTGGGAGGAGTGCACAACCTCCTCCTCTCCAACGTGTGAGAGGAAGTCAAGAGACGGCCGGAAAGACACCACCTCTTCTAGCGTTGGCTCAGAAAAAGAGCTTCTTCACAGCAAGCAAAGCTCATCATGAGCAGCTGGAGGAATCGTCAGACAGTATATCTGCTCTGACATGGAAAGTTTGTCACAATGCTTTTTTTTCATAAAGACCTTCTTAATATTAGGACCAGTATTTGATCATCGATGTAATAAGCTCATGCTGGTTTGTCTTAAGTCGAATATATCTTTGAAAAAAAACCTTACATCAATAATATTCACCAGAAGTATCTGYAAGAGATAAGCACATATATTTTTAAACATACATTTTTAGGAGATGTGCAGTATGGTTTTCTTTGCAATCCTATCATTACTATTAAAATATCACAAAATATTGTATTTGTTATTTACAATGGGCTTTTAAAACACTTGATAATTGTACTTTTCAGTCTATRTCATACTATGTTTGTTTCATGCGTGGTAGATGTCACAGGGTATCCTTTAGTACAGTGGTTCTTAAAGTTGGAGTGATGACCCCACTCTGGAAYATGAAATGCTAATTGAGGGGGTCTTGAAAAACATGCGTTTAAATCCTTTTTTACATTTAAATCATTCAGATGGGGTCTATATAAAGTGGAACTGCAATGCTTTGCTCTGAATTCCTCCTTATTGTAACTCCACAAGCCCCTCTATCACCCCTTTTCTGTGGTGTGTCAGATCAGCTCGTTTTGATGCTGTTTCTAACAAGGTGCTTTACTCCCAGCCCCCCTCCAGCTTCTAGAGCGGTCCATTCTAGTTTGATAGCAGCGTAGAAACCTTTTATTTACAAAATAAAAGATGTCAGTAAGGGAAGACTCATCCATCCAGCCTTACATGTTGGAGCCAGAGGAGAATGAACTTAGACGACCAAATTGTAGTTGGTAAGTAGAACTTATTTAGCAATTCTGTCACAAATTCTGTGATTAACCTTTCGGAAAACGTCAAAGAAAATGAAAACTGAACAGGTTGAAAAATATGACCCAAACAGAATATAAAGATATGAGCAGAGAGACTAAATTCCAATTTTACACAACAAAATTTATTTAAAAGAGTAGATTTTGCTTGATTTGACCCCCTTCAGATTTGCAGAAATCAGAGTTTGAGTGCAACATTTCTTGTGRGTTAAAAAACCAAAAGGTGTTTGGGAACCACTGCTTCAGTGCAATGAGCTTTATTTTCAGCTTTTAAACTCAGGGTATTGTTTGTAGAAAAAAATGTAGTGCCCATCCCACTTCCTTAAACATTTTGAATTTATGACATTTTTCCTGTCACAGTAACATTTTAGTCTTGAAGCGCCTTTAAAAAAGAAACAATCAATTTGTGCCTGTTAGATATAGAACACAATAAATGTTCTCCCTCCTGCTGACAGGATGGTGAAATGTATACATCATTTTGGTTTTCTCTAACGAAAGGGAAATTTTTACCTCTTACTTCAGTGTGCCATATTTGGTATTTACTGCCTTTGTAACAACAGCTTTTCTCTGAAGACGCACAGTTTTTTTAACACTACAGTATCAAGAGCAAAGTGTGATAAAAATACAGCGAACTCTGTGCACCAGTTATTTAAAGTAGGCTGCATGCCAGAAGAGCTTATGTAACTGATTTCTTACATTCCACTGAACACATGTAGACGTGTAAAAATACCTCATAATACATTCATTTTAATTTGGAAAAAAAATGGTCCTAGAGAAAAGAAATGCATTATGCTTGTAATAACTCATCTCAGAGTAATTCTGTTCAATGASTTAAAAAGCATGTTTTGGGTGCATTTAAAAAAGTGCTTATCCTTTGTTTTGTTGTTTTTGTACATTTTGGTATAAAAAAAAAGAAAAAGGCTTAGCTGACGGAGTCTGTAGGTGATTTTGGTGTATTTCTTTTCTTAATATACTGTGATAGTTTTCTGCAAAATACTTTACAGGTTATCAGACCTGCTTTAGTGTAAACATTCAGTTTATTCAGCAGGTCCATGGAGAAATTAACACAATTTAGTTGACAATCAAGCTTGTCAGACTAGAGAACAGTATGTATTTCTGCAAAGAAAATGAAACGTGTCCTAAAAAAACATTTTTGTGAACATTTTGTGCATTTGTACAATTTTCAGTTTTAATAATAAATCATCTGTTTAATGAAATGGATCTGCGGTTTAATCTGTTTAGTAAGAAAATTGCTCAACTCACACAAGTTCAAATAGAGCACCTTATATTTGAGGTTTAATTTAAAAATGTACTTTTTTTTTGAAGGAATACATTTGATCTACTGCCCTTTAGTTTGAGTTTAAAATTAAAATAATTTTATGTTGACAAAGTTGTAGCCATTCTGGTCAAAATTTGAAAATAATTTTGTGCATATTGAGAGATGTGACAGTAGGCTATGGGTTGTTAATGACACAACCGCGTCAGATTTTAGCTTAGTATCTGTAAAAATCTGTTATAGCAGTTCAAAAATGTATGTTTTGTTAATGATTCTCACCTAATTTTAGGTCATTATCTCCAAAAACATCTAATAATTTCTATCTTCAATGATTATTTCCTAAAAGTTGCAGTTAAATATTCAATAGTACTTAAGATATTTTACAGGCAGATACAGTCTATTCTAACATTAAACAAAAACTGAACAATTTAGAATGTTCTGTTTCAATTGCTAACAAACCAAATTTTAGGTCAATATCTCCAAAACTGTGTTTTGCTCTTATTGGATTTGGCTGTGGTGGCCATCTTGAATCAGACTGACCCATGTAACTCCAGTGAAATTTTGGTAACAGAGTTCTGAACACGATTACATCCCAGCCCTGGCTTGTCCAGAGTCCAGAAAGAAACGTTAAACTGTGGAAATGAGCTTAAAGGTCAAAGACAATGACAGTTTTCTCTTTGATTTAATTTTTATTTGTAAAGTTATCACCTTGGATGGCTCACTGCCTGAAGCAAACAGCAGCAGTGTTTAATGTAGTTAAAGAATTCACCAACTTAAAACTGGTTGACCATGTTGTGAATAACAATTTTTTTTGTGGCCAAACGCATCATGAAGTTCATCTTTATTAGGCAACAAGCTGAAACTGTTTTATAATACAGATGTACTTCCTGTACATGGTGCATCCTTCTACTCTATGCCATCAAGGAAATGTACATATAATCATACAAACAAATGCTTCATCTATGTATATATAATAACCCAATTCACACTTAAAAACAAATTTCAAATGAAAGCTTGATAATGGTGACAAATTTTAATTAGCATTCTCACACGTTCTCCGTCTCTATACAATATATGTACACACTCGTTTCCATAAAGAACAGGTAGAGGAAAAAAAAAGGAACATTACACCATGAGAGAATAGAAAAATAAAATGCTAAATATTTTACTTTCTTAAGAATATTAAAGTAAAACATTTCAGAGAACAAGTCGCTCATGGTCACAACTTCATCATTAGAACCTCCCCCGCTGATTTTCAAGGCGCCAGTCAAAATATTACAGGTCAACAGTGAACACAAACTCGTATAGTTAAAAAAAATAGCAACAGAGGTTTAAAGCACAAAAAGAGGATGGGCTCTGCTCTGCGGAATTTTTCTATCACATGTGATGGATGCAGTTTAGGTCTACTCAGACCACATTATTATTACACAGCAGCACTGAGGAGCCCAGCACTGTGACAGCAAGTTCATCCTTCCTTCAGTCTTCTAGTCCACTTTCACCACACTGTAGATTTTATTTACAAACCAGAAGCAGGCGAAGAAGCCAACTGTACCTGAAAACAGAAGACAAAATTAACAAATAAGTCGCATCGATCCAGCAAAAACAAAACCACCGAAAAAGGTAATAAATCCTTTCAAATTCAATTTATTAAAAAAGGTCTTAAAATTAAAAGCTTAAGTTAAAATAAGGAAAAAGTACATCTAGAGATCATGATTTATTTCACTTTATATTATCTGATACCAGTTTTTATCCTATCATCACACCGCTRTCAACAATTAAATATCACTGCATTTATGAATTAAAATTCCATGTTGGTACTTAAACCACATAAGTCATATAATGCAAAATTTATTCATATTCCTCAATGAATACTAACTACAATTAGTGCTGTATGATGAAGACTGCATGTGAGTACAATAGTGCAGTGTTTTTCAACCCTGGTCCTTAAGGCACACTGCACTGCATGTTTTAGAKGTCTCCCTGCTTTTACACACCTAATTCAGATGATTGCAGTTCAACAAAAAACTGTTGATCAATTATCAACTGAAATCAGCTGTGTTGAAGCAGGGAAACATCGAAAACATGCAAGGCAGTGTGCACTGCACTAGTGGAAGGTAGTGCAGGACACACAAACCCTAACCCTACAAACTTGTTTAATCCACTGAAACACCAACATAAATCGGCAGATGTGGCAAGTCAGATAATGTGGAACAAGGCTGCAACCTCAAATACACGCAAGCGCAATTTTCATCTATAAATAGTCATATTAATCATTACTGACTAAATGCCACAATAAACTGTAATAAAAAAGGTTTTTGTCAATATAGTCCAACCCCAATGCACATCAGGAGAAACAAAAATAAACGAGTCACTTAAACAGATGGCAAAAATCCCAGCGTAACTTAATTCAGTAAATTTTATAGAGTAGGGGACCTTTTTGGCATAGTTTTGTGTGGAATCTCAAAGTATGCAAAGAAATATCAGCATTAATAATTCATTTTGTCATGAAAAAAAAAGTCTGACAGAGCTCTGCTGTGTTTATAAGCCTGATTAGCCAAAATCCTGGATCAGTTCATCTGGCTATAAAATCCTATCTGACTGCTCAATGGGGCAGAGACAAACCCTAAAATAAGACGCGATCAAAGTTGAGTTGAGGTGACAGAAACAGACGCCAAAATAAAAAYGCTTTAGGGGAAAATGACACAGATTAAGGATATTAAGATCAAAATTAAAAGTGAAGAGGGAAAGCGATCATCTCTTCCTTGAATACTTTGTGGTGGTAATCTTGACATCTTATCCACTTTCTACTCATATCTCTGTCTCAAGACATTGTCAAACAGTGGCACGGTGACAAGCTGTGCTACAGAGTCATTTTTATCTTCCTCCACAACAATATTACACCAGAAAATATGTTGTCATGTGGCATCATGATGAGCCAAATTCTCTTGTGCAACATACAGACTAGGCGGGTATTTGCACATCATTATTACTTATTATCCTTTCTGCACACATCCTGAATTTCATTTAGGCTGGTTGCAAATGGAAGCTCAAGAGCGCCACTAAACAGTTAATATAAAAACACAACAGTGTGTGTGGCTTCTAACAAATGTATCAATGTTCAATCTCTCTTTCAATCTTTCCAATTACATTTCCCTTTTTTTCCCTTTTCCCTTTCTACAAAAAAAAGTCACTGATGAAGAAATTAAGAAACTAATATTAAGTTCATTTTTCTACTGAAGTGACAAAAAAGTATCAATGTTCTTTTCATACTATCTGTGGTAGAAATAATACTTTATGTTTAAGCAAGTAATTCATGACATCCTTTAATGACCTAGGTTTTCATGACATGCTGTTCATCTGCAGACAGAATGATTAAAGTCAGAACAAGRTYTGCTAACAACAATAATCATTCTTAGATATCACTTGTTTATCTTTGTGTTTTCCATTGACCTTGTATCAAATCTTGCTAAGACGACAGAATGCTGTTTGTTAATATATATATATGAGGCCTCTCGAGACAACAGAGTTAGACAGTGAGCAGTGTGGAGAGACTGACAGAGAGGCATGGAGACAGGCCATGTTCTCTGTGTTTCCTGTTGTTGCAATAAAACTCAGCTGATCATCTCACGGAGTACCTTCATTCTTGACCAGCGTATTTCTGTCTCTGTTGTTAAATAAATATTACCATAACACTATCTTTGTGACATGTGGTCAAGTACATCTCAGTTCTAAAACAAACAAATGGATTAAAAGAGCAAACCAATTTTTTTTTTTACTAAAAACAGATAACGTACTGAGAACATTCAGAATTACCACGATGAGTTGGCTGTACATTTTTAGCAGAAAAAAAAAATAGTAGCATCTTATACTTTAAATGCATTGCGGACTGACTGGGGGATTTTCTTGCTTGTAATGGCAGATGAAGTGAGAGATTGAGTGAGACAGGGGTATAGTTTTAAATAAATATCTGGCGATACAAAAACTGGTAGTTTAAAACAGTTATGTGCGTGTTTTTAATAGTTTTCTTGTCAGAAATCATCATAAACAAGCTTGAATGTTGGGTCCCTTAGTTCTTCATGCAACACCTCTAAACTACTTTTTAAAATTTAGAATACATTAATATCTTGCTATTTTCTGTCCGTTTTCGATCTTCTATTCAGTGCCATCACAGTTGCTAGAAGACGGGACATACGCCGGGGTAAGGGTGGAAATAAAGCTGAAGGCTAGACCATCCAAATTTACAACCACTTCCTTATGGTCTTCATGGTCGATGAAGAACCCGGCCCAGACAGACCAGATCCTTTGAAGGATGCAGGCCCTGAATTTGGACACAGCCATTGTCCAGGGAGTAAATCGACAAACAATGGATCTAACCCTACTTTACATGTTTGCAGTTAGAGMATGAGGTCACCTGTGACCTCGTCCTTTGACCTTGAAATAAATAGAGATCATCTTTGACCCATGAGGTGTGCAGTCGTGTTGTCTGACATCCATATGTTACACAGTTGCTGTGTTAAAGAACGGACAATGTTTTCTGAAGGGTTCACGTGTGACCCTGACCTAGTTTGACCATGTGACCTTGTATTCAATAAGGATCATCCTGACCCATGAGGTACCCATGCTGTGCAGTTTGACTTTTCTACTGTGAGTTGTCCACAGACAGACAGATGGACACCATACTACACTTCATCATGGGACAGGCATAAAAAAAAACATAAGACTTTCATTACAAAGCAGGTAAATATTGGATAATCATTAAAAAAAACTTCCTGTTGTCCTTTCTGGGAACAGGATCCTGAATCCTCTTTTCACAAATGAACTGAGTAACTGAATAAACAGTGCAAGTGATAAGAACTGCACACTCCTTTCTGCCTGTTTAAAGCTTCCTGATTGGTCATAAAGACCACAGTGCAACTATCTAAAAAAAGGATATCAAWGGGTAATATTTAATGAAAGATTACATCTACAAGCAAACTAATAACAAAACTTTGCATTAAGTAAAAGAAAAAAAAGAAAACATGAAAATAAACTGCCTCTAAAAAGTTCCTTTGTATTTAAATGAACTTCTTACCAGTGAAGAGGAAGAAGATGAGGACCATAATCATAGTGTATCCGAAGTACAATATGGTACTGGCCGCTCCAATGATTTGCAGCTTTGAGAAGAAGTAGTGCTCCGCATAAATGAACAGATAAACTGCTGTAAAGCCGCTGGTCAGGAAGGAACGCCACCACCAGTGGTAGTCCTTGATGCGCAGGGGAAAAAAAAAAGATCACATTTAGGATCTGATATTAAATACATGTCTAGTTTAGAAAATCCATTCAGATCATTCGGGTACCTCTGCACATAGGTGGAAGTAGCACAGCAGAATTGTGGCCTCAGAGCAGGTGATGAGCAGGATAATGAAAACCAGGAACAGGAATCCAAACATGTAGTACATCTGATGAGACCTAAAGAAAAAACAAGCTCTATGAGTCAACTAGTGCAGAGCTTTAATTCCTCCTTACTGGACTGTATGGCTTTTAAAATCAGACATGCAGACCAGTGAGGATAAACTGCACTTTTAGACTTACCAAATGCTGTTAAGAATGAAGAAAAGTTGGATGAAGATRCATCCAAAGGGCAGGATCCCACCCATTACAATACCAGGGATAGGTTTAGTGAAGAAGGACTGCTCGGGAATTTGACGGGGGATTTGGTTTGTTCGTACAGGTTGCTCAATTGCCTGCCAAGAATCCAAAACTGATTAGGAACAGAGCAGCATCAACAATATATCTTTGCAACCAATAGTTATCTTCAGAGGTCTAACTCACAGGTTTCTTGAATCCAAAGTAGGCACCAACAAAAGTGAGGGGCACAGAGATTCCAAACCACATRGCCAAAATGGCCACCAGAGTACCAAATGGGATTGCTGCAGAYGAACCCTCCACCCACAGGATCAGGTTCATCAGAAAGAAGTCTGCAAATACAATCCTGGGGAAGAAAATAGACAAAAAGGAATATAAAAGGAAAGATCGAACATGAGTACAATAACACAAGTGTGCAAGGTTACAGATTAGTTTCAGGATGACAAGAGGAAATATTAAATTATGAGTGTTAGCCAAGCCAGTGAAGTAAGTGAACACACCCTGGGCACAGGAGGGCTGTCAGCAAGACATTGGTCTTCCACTTTTCACCTCCAAAAGCTGAAAAAAAAAAAAAAAAAGACAAAAGTGAGATCAATATGACAATATGAAACAATGACAGTCTGCACTGTGCTGACTGGTAAGAGGATAGGTTTTATTTAAGGAGGGTTCTGTGATGTACCTATAAGTAATGTGACACGCAGGAGACAGCGGTCAATGTGCTCTCAGTTTACAGAACAACTAAAGTTTAAGTGATCTTGATTAAAATTTCAATTTTTACTTGAACTTTCATAAAATGTTTCAGTTCCRAATTGTCAATAGCACATCTTGTTCTCCATGTTTGAGCATTATTTAACTTTCTCCATGACAGGAGTCATACAAGTCTTTCTAAAATAAAGTGTGTGGGCATTTTGCCTTCTTGCAGGCAAAAGACTACTTGTGAAATTTTCAAATAACCCCACTTTACTAAAATAAAGAAACCATAACAGAGTGGACACTTACTTTTGTAAAGACGTGCAGACACATAGCCAGCAGGAGTCCCCAGTAGGACCCAGAGTACCACAGCACATGTCATCAGAGCCCCTCTGTTGGCTGGAGACAGAAATCCCAGACAGGCCAGGACTACAGAGGACAAAGAGTTATCAGTGCATTCTTTCATACGAATAGCCATTATTGGATGTACTTATATAGTACATTAGATTAACCATTAGAAAATGCTTATTGGTTAAATATGCTGTACCACAACTTAAGATTGCTTTGTAAGTTATGACACTTAAGTGTCTTTGAGTCTTTAGGTAGTATCTCGCTAGGTTGGGATTGTTGGAGACTACAAATCCTGGCAAAACGTATGGAATCACCAGTCTTGGATGAGCACTCAATCAGATATTTCATTCTGTAAAACAAACTCAGATCAAAAACATGATACAACTAG